TCATTAATATCTTCATCACACAACACTCCACTGTTGTCACACTAACTGCTCCATTCTCTGGGTCCATTAGTTCACCACAGTCAACCACTGCAACAGAATTAAAATGTAGTGTAATTATATTATACAACAGAGGTTTTCTTGACTCACAGTATTCGCAATTTTCCCCAGTCGTTCCCTCAGGACAGACACATATACTGTCAGAGTTGGACATGAAAGGACTGGGACACTGCTCCACACACACTGAGTTGTTGTAGAAGTTGCAGCAGTCACTCTGGCACTAGGTCCAGGAGACCTTGATCACATGTTGAGTTACAGGCTGTGGAAACAAAGACTGTGACAGTAGGTTGGATTGATCTATTGCTCACTTACCTACACAGTGAGTTACGCTATCAGTCGTGATATCCAGGGTGTTTGTTAGTTCTGGAGACGCACAAGCTGAACAGTCTTCTCTGGCAGTGGTAGAAAGACTGGCTTCAGTGGATTCTGAACGAGTGAAAGAAGTAGAGCCTTCTACTCTAATGCTCCACTGTCCACTTTCACAACCAGACTCAATCTGCTCCACTGCAGTTCCTGATCGGCAGCTGGAGTGACCAGAGCAAGTGTACTGCACCACGACTGACACTCCACGTAGGAGGTCTTGTCGGTCAGTGAATGAACGACAGACGGGGTTGAAATCCAGCAGAGTTATCGTGGGTTTAGCTGCAGCATCTCCTGAGGCGATGATGGCGGCAATCACACTCTCCAGCTCGGTACTACTAGGATACGAGCAGTAGTGCTGCTGACTGCTTGTCCCTACCATAATCACGGCCACTAGAAGTAGCTGATGAAAGGTAGCAGAGAACATCCTGACTACGAGACCGGCCTACAAAAGTCGGTAGAGTTCTATTCTCGGTCACTGCACTGCACTGTAATAGTTTGCAGCACTCGACAGCCCCACCCCCCAAAACCCTGCCCGGCCGGCCCCACGCACTGCACAAAATCGCCTTGTAAAAGTATTATAATTATAGCTAAATGGACGACAGAATGTAAGCTACTTTTGCAATGAGCACATTGTTGACACATGGAAAATTGTTTGTTCTACTTGTTGTTACGGTAGACTGCATACAGTGCAATCGCTATAACAACCACGACAGCAAAGATGCAAGCAATCACAATACCTGGAGTGAGAGATAGAGAGTGTACAGTATTAGTAGTTATTTAATTTTTTGTATATGAAACATTCTAGAATTACCAATGATGGCTCCAATAGAGAGACCATTATCATCATCAGTTTCACTGCACAAAACACCATCATTCCGCTGTGATACAGCTGATTTACTTCTCTGTTGCTCAGTCGTCCTTTCTTCCCCACATGTGTCACACTTCCTGACATCACTGTCACATTACTGCACCAGTAACTGCGCATTCCTGAGAGAATAGACTAAGTTGCCAAAGTAGAGCAATTGCGAGCAATGCTGTAATCAGCGTACGAGGTCGCTTCACATAGCAAATCTTAAGAGAAAAAGTAGGAGAAAAGAGAGAGGAATGCAATCATAAAGAAGTGCAGTGGGAAAAGGCGCCTACAATTACTATGACACGTATCAGTACATCATAGTGTGTGGAGAGGTGTTCTGCATACATATGACTGCCAGCCCCACACCGGAGCAGGCTGATTCTTATCGTCGTCCAGTCTCCGCCCTTCTTCACATGTATCACACTTGCTGGAGTCACTGTCACAATTACTGCAACCAGTAACTGCGCATTCTGAGAGGAATAAGAAAGTTGCAAAGTAGAGGAAATTTCTAGCAATTCTGTAATCAGCGAAGAGTAGCTACATACAATCTTAAGGAAGAAAGTAGGAGAAAAGGAGAGAGAAATGCAATCATAAAGAAGGCAGTGGGAAAAGGGCCTACAATTACTATGACACGTATCAGTACAATCATAAGTGGTGGAGATGTGTTCTGCAATACATATGGACTGCCACACACCTGAGCAGGCTGACTTATCGTCGTCCAGTCTCCGCCCTTCTTCACATGTATCACATTTGCTGGAGTCACTTTCACAACTGCTGCAACCAGTAACAACGCACTCTGAGGGAAGGAACAAAAGGAGAGAGGTAGGAGAAGGACAAGAAAGAGAGTTATTCTACTTTCAGATCTTCTTCATGCAAACTAAACAGCTCACATGGAGAAAGAAAAAGAAATAGGAAGACAGGGGGAGAGCTTGTAAGGGCTTCAAGACCTAACAGAACACATGACTTACTGCAAACTCCATTCTCAAGCTTGTAATCTGCTCCGCATACTTTGCAACCGTCCACGTCACAATCAATACAGTTTGTTGTACAGCCTAAGTGCCAACACAGGTAAATGTACATGAATAGTGCTATTGTCTGCCATTGAATAAAGATACATGATCTTAGGTCATTAAAACACAGTGCCATTCATGAGCTGACATTGCAGGGTACATATCCTGTTTGTGCGTTTGACTCACATAATGGTGGTTCCCCAGACCAGAGACCACTAGCCAGACATGTTATGGTGGTATCTCCCACTAGACTGTAGCCATCATTGCAGGAGTAAGTGGCTGTTGAGTTGAACGCAGTGCCAGTGAGACTGATTGTTCCATTCACTGGGTCTGTAAGACTACCACAGTCAACATCTGTAACAGAATTCATTCATGGTGATTCAGAAAGCAAATGTTTAATACGTATGCCCTGTAGCTATGTGCAATTGTCCATAAGATCACCTGCCTTATTGGAGAATGTGTAGGAGTAGCTAATGAACACAATGGAGATAATTCCCTAAGTATGTATATACTTACTCTCACAAGTAAGCTCAATGGTAGTAGTAGATAGCATGTGGGAGTCGATACACGCCCATGCTGTAGTAAGCCGTCCCGTCCGTTGTGTATTTGCATATTGGCTTTTTCGCGCTCTAGCTTTGCAACGGAGCGTTTTCAGAGAAAACCGTTCGAAATTTCTGACCTTCATTGCCCGTTAAGTAGGTCGTATCGTTTGTGAGACGAACAGACATTCGAGAAGTGAGATTGAGAGTAACAGACACACACAGACAGACAAACCCAACTACAGTACCCTCGCTGCGCATGCACGCCGAGGGTTAATGATTTCGAACCCAGGGCAGAAAACAGTAGCTTTGGTTTCCACGGTGTAGCTTGTCTCATTATCCACAATAAGGCATTCGGTGGAATATTTTATTACCCCATTCTCCACCATATCAAGATTATCAGGGCAGGTAACTGAAGAAATATATACAGCAAGATATTTCGCATGAAAAGACACATTGCAACAACTTTAACAAAAGCTAGGGCTGACATTAATGGGATTTTATACCTTTGACGCATTCAAGATCTTCGTTTGACCAGGTCTTATCATTTTGGCAAGTCCTAGTGTTCCTTTCGTCTTTGAATATGTAGTCAGTGTCACACTCATATGTGGCTACTGCTTCAACCTCCGTGGTGGCTGGTACTCCTGAAACTTTCCCGTTCACTAAAGTTGGGACTTCACCACACTCAATCACTGTGCATCAGACGAAAAAGAAATGTCTTATAGCGACTGAGTGTAAGTGAAACAGCTCTTACCGATGCAGTTTGGTAGGGTGGAGTTCCATGTGCCAGCGTTGCTGCAGATAGCGCCATACCCATCTGTCTCATACGTATCATTGCATGCAACAGTAGCTGTAGTTCCTGGTAAGTAGCCTTCTCCTGTAGCATTCTGAGAATACTCAACTCTTCCATTCCCAACTGTGCCAAGGCTATCAGGACAGTCTCTCACTGTTAGGCAAATGGAAGAGAAAAGAAACTGAAATAGAACAAAAAGACGTAACTTACAGCAGTTAAAGTCACTGCTGATGGAATAAACACCATCTTCCGGACAGGCCTTGCCACATGTGCCATTAGGTAGATAAACCTGACAGCAGGAGTCAGAACCAAAGCCAAAGCATCTTCTAGCTCCAGCTTCTTCACCACTGCATAGAGCGTTACATTCTGCAAATGGCCATGTGATAAACCACACATATTTCAGAAACCATCAAAGTCAGTCTTCACCAATGCAATGCGACCCGTCGCTGGCCGGATCAGGAGCGCCTCCAGCGGCACTAGCGGTTTGTTGAGACGCACAGAAAGAACAGTCTTCTCTGAGATCATTTGAGAAATCACCAGTGGCAGGAGATGTCCGAGGAATTACCGCGACACCAAGAACTCGAGTGCCCCAAGTATTTCCGTTACACTCGGCTTCAAACTGCTCTACTACCATACCCTCGGGACATCCCGCATTTACCTCACAAGTGTACTCAACGATAACAGAGAAAGCTCTATAGCGATCTCTTTGCCGACTGTAGGCCAGGCACACAATACGGTGTCTGTCCAAGGTGATGGTAGGGGTGACGGCACCCTCTCCAGTCACAAAAACTTGAGATATCACATCTCTAATAATGTTTTCAGTAGGATAGTCACAGTCCACCACACACGACCCACTCCCGAGGAGACAAGTAACCAGAAGTACGATAAGACGCATGATGTTCCTCACAGCCAGCTCAAGGTCGGTGTAGAGTATGGAGCGCCGTTTCCGCGTTCCATAGTAGAAGGTCCGCTGCAGGTCAGAATCACGCATGCGCGCACAAGAGAGTCGCGCGCGTTGACGAAAAGGGGTGTGTCAAAACGGCCTACGATTGCGCATGAGCTTGGGGTGCCGAAGAAGAGTGCTTGGCTCCGATAGTATTTCCTGATACAGAGCTCAAAAAGGGATGGACCTTGTATAGTGGGGAGGCCGAATAGTGTCTGTTGAAATAGTTTATCTCCCATCTTTTGTCAAAATAGCTGAATTGTACACTTCTACAGTTCGGAGCATTTACTGCATCATTGATGTAGCTAACAGTATAAATCTCTGAACACTCAACTACAGACAGGCACATAAAACACAAAATTCAGTTATCCGTATAAACTGTTCTTTTCGAAGCTTATTTACCCGAAGCTCCGGTGCTTTTGGCCTTTGTCTCTTTCTTGTCCTCCTTCTCGGCAGCCTGAGCACTGGAGATTGGATTGGCTGGTTTCAAATCTTTGGAGAGTGCCACATAAGATGTTTCAGACTGAGCTGTCTTCAATTCTTTCTTGGCCTTTGAAGCTGCTGCTGAAGCTAGTGCAGATGCAGTTGATCTTGGATCTTTCTTTACCTTCGAAACCGTAGCATATTTTTTTGCCTGAGTCAATCTCAGATCTTTCTTGGACTTTGAAACTGTTTCGGAAAAGGAAAAGACTCGGTCGATTTCCAATCTTTTAAATGACTCCAAAAGGGGTAGCTGCTTCTGTCGTGTCGTCATTGTTGGTGTCACCCTTACTTACTACAACGACTGGAGTGTACACGACTCTTTCCTTCGGAGGCTTGACACTGCCACCCTTCGCTATTGGATTCTCAGATTCAGTAGTTTTCTTGTCAGTTTTGTCTTGTTTGCCTGGTTCAGATGTCCCTCCTTTTTCTTTCACTGGCTCCGAGCGTTGTAGGCAGAGGGGGCTGACCGATGGAGAGCACGATAGACGCCTGAAGATGTCCGCAGTGTGACACAACAGTACTCGGCGGCGTGGAACCACGCATGTGACACATAGCCCAAACCACATACATGGTTCCACGCCGCCGAGGGTTTTGCACTTTAGTGCTTTTGATGTACGTACGTAGCTAGCTAATCGCATTTGTCAATGCTAGGTTTGTTAGCTACTGATTTTTTCCCGACGTTGTCTAGTTGGTATGCGGGAATATCTACTACTACCCGTATATAGCTCATCAGAAGGTAGGCTAGTGTTGATGTTGGAATTCACTCCAACGGCGCACTTGCAGTCGCAGTCGCTGGAACCAGTGTGAACGGGAGAAACGGTCAGGCCCAGTGCAGAGACGTTGGTGGCCGTATAACTCTCCGGGCAGCTCGACAGCACAGGCACCACAGAAATATGGATGAAGAGAAAGGAACCGAGGAAAAAGGTGGTTGCGAACATTGTCCGTTCTTGCAAGTCCGCTGACGATGGCCTCTCTACTTGCAAAAGTCGGTGAGTTATGGAACGCCAAACTTACCAAAATTAAAATGCACTCCACCCTACGTATTAGCTATACCTCGGAAGTCAGTTTTGAATGCCACACTGACTCCGAAACCCAAGCCAACTTGGCAAAGTTCAAGCCGACTTGAGAAACTCAAGCCGACTTCGAAGTGTCATGCTCCGTCTCCCGTCCTCGCATTCTGACTCGATCGCCGACCCGCCGCGCGGACACGTCGCCGAGCCGTTTTATAGTTTACAAGGACGGTCGATAGCGGTGTTTTTGGAGTGGAAAGGCCGTGACGTTGATGTCGTGGTAGGACGCCGCGTCCCCGCTGCGAAGGGTGTTCTGGATTACGCTGGCTAGATTGGTCCTAGTGGGGTAAGCACAGTCCAGCTGGCCCCGCGCGAGATTGGCTACTAGTTGGCGAGCGGGAGCGAGCTAACCTAGTGGTACGAACGGCGCGGATTTTACGACCGTACGTCGTCCACGCGCTTCTTTTTATCCGAAAAACATTTCACATTTTTACACCGTATATTTCTCGAGGCCAACCACACTTTCTGCGATGGATCGGTCTAGTCGTGCCAGTGAGACTTCTGAGCAAAGAGAGGCTCGTCTTTCTCGACGGCGACTGCGTGATAAGGAACGGGCAAGGCAACGCCTGGCCACGGAAACAGCGGAAGAAAGAGAAGCACGACTAGCGAGAAGTCGTGTAGCTACACGTGCTGCGGAATCAGAGGAAACGCAACAGGCCAGGCTCCAACAGCTATAAGACAAGGCGAATTGCCGTCAAGACAGTCATTCATTGTGTGCTCGCTCCCGCTCGCCAAAAATGCCATGCATTCGCCTACTAGTATATATAATTATAGTAGAACGGCAAAGTTCACGACAGAAATCATGTCAGTGTGGGGACTGCAGACACAGTCCGCATTAATTTTGCGCATAAGAACCCAGCGCGAGCATATGCGCAATAGCTCGTCAACATAAAACCTGAAAAACAACATTACTAGTGGAAATGTTGAACATTGTTGGCGAGCGGGAGCGACCCAACTTGGGATTTGCCCCCGATGTTCGGGCCGCATTACGTTCCGTCAGCGCACAGTTTTAAGCAAGACATATCTACCTGTCGCCGTTACATGCGTATTGTACATTGGCAGAACGGTGAGCAGGTGAGCAGAACGGTACTTACCTTACGCTTTCAGTTCGTCCGCAGTCGTGGTCCACCAGGCAGCCGGTATGTGCACGAGCAATCCTAGCGTATTTGCAAGTTGCACCTTGGAACCATGAAGATTGGGAAGAGGTACAGCCTCGGTCAGTCACCGATGGTTGCAGCGCATGCCGTCGAATGGAGGAGAGTTAGCTGGCTAGATCGATCGGCGCATATCGCGAGTCACCCTGTGTGGACCCCGGAAGTGTTGGTAAAGAAGCGCGTACAAAGCCGCGCATGCGCACATACACGACGTACCACGTATATTATACACAGAAAATTCCGCTCGAACGAACGACTAGGTTGGCTCGCTCCCCGCTCGCCAATTATACAGTAGGTGAAGGAAAATGAAACTGTTATACAGCATAGTTTAGTTTTCCTGGCATTCACATAAGAACCCATCACGAGCGTGTGCAATAGCATATGAAAAACAACAGGGGAATTATATATACAGTAGGTGAAGGAAAATGAAACACTATACAGCATAGTCTAGTTTTCCTGGCATTCACACAAAAAAAGCAAGGCAATAATGTTTGTTGAGGTTTTACGTTTGTCTGTTGACTTCAGCATATATTCTGTCGAGGGCTTCAGTTGAAGTCGTATAGGCAGAGTTTTCATCCATTTCAATGTTGTCATTCTTGCTTGCATGTGATGACCCTTGAGTAAAGTCAATGATAAGGTTTTCCAAAAATAATTGCTTACTTGCGTTCTTTTTTGACAGCTTCAGCCCAAGAAACACTGCTGTCACTGCTAGAGCAATTAGCAAAGCACCAAAGACCACAGTCACAGCTAACAAAACCTTCTCCCGTAGTGTGAGACCTATTCAATAGAAGTGTAAGGGAAAGAGAATAAACTGGCTTCTGTCAAGAATCAAAGAGTAACTGGAATCAAGTCGAGTTCACTATATGACTGAGACAGAAAGCCAGCTGGTGTTCCCCATTTCCTATAATTAACCACCTGTGTTGTCATTTCCTCTGATACAGGCTGATAGTCTTCCATTGCTGTGAAGTTCATACTCAGGCCTGCATTCAGTGCATTTGATAGCATCACACTTGATGCAGTCTTGTGTACACCCTACACCTGCATAGAACATAGTGTGACAGCCTTTAGCATGCGAGGGGCACTGGCTAAGTAATAAAACAACAGTTACATGATGGTTCATTAGCAGACCAGTTACCGCTAGCCAAACATCTTCTGGTTTCCTCTCCCACTAGATTATAACCATCATTGCAGGAGAAGGTTGCTGTTGAGTTAAATATTGTATCAGCCACTGTAGCTGTTCCATTTTCTGGGTCCGGTAACCCACCGCAGTCTACAACTGCAGAGGAGATGGAAAATCAGGGATATAAAATCATTTCTGGGGTGTGAAGTATACCTGTGCAGTTTGGAACAATACTAGACCAGAGACCACTAGCCAGACATGTTCTGGTGGAATCTCCCACTAGACTGTAGCCATCATTGCAGGAGTAAGTGGCGGTCGAGTTAAATGTTGTACTGTTCACTGAAACTCCTCCATTGGTTGGATCGAACAGATCTCCACAGTCAACCTCTGCATTGAAATTATAAGTCATCGAGATTTAGTCTTTGCATGTTATTATACCTGTGCAGTTTGGAGCACTACCAGACCAGCTACCACCAGCCAAACATCTTCTGGTTTCCTCTCCCACTACATTATAACCATCATTGCAGGAGAAGGTGGCTGTTGAGTTAAATATTGTATCAGTCACTGTAGCTGTTCCATTTTCTGGGTCCGGTACAATACCAGACCATAGACCACTAGCCAGACATGTTCTGGTGGTATCTCCCACTAGACTGTAGCCATCATTGCAGGAGTAAGTGGCTGTTGAGTTGAATGTTGTATCAGAAACGTCTACAGCCCCATTATCTGTGCCAGCTAGTTCACCACAGCTTACAACTGCAAGATAAGTGAGCATGTTGTCACTTTATGCTTGAGTATCATGTACAATACTAAAACCTGTGCATGTTGGTTTGATCCCAGACCAGAGATCACTAGCCAGACATGTTCTGGTGGTATCTCCCACTAGATTGTATCCACCATTGCAGGAGTAAGTGGCTGTTGAGTTGAAAACTGTGGTAGAAACATTCACTAGTCCATTTGCTGGGGCTAAAAGGCTACCACAGCCCACCACTGTATTGAGAAATATTTCACCTATTTCTGTGGAAAAGCAACACTTTTTTTTACCATCTTCGCAGTTGTGGCCAGTAGTTCCCTCTGGACAGACACAGATGCTGTCAGAGTTAGACACGAAAGGACTGGGACACTGCTCCACACACACTGAGTTGTTGTAGAAGTTGCAGCAGTCACTGGCACCAATTCCAAAGCATCTCATGAGACCTTGATCACACGCTGAGTTACAGGCTGTGGAAAAACAAAGACGGTGACAGTAGGTTTGATTGATCTATTGCTCACTTACCTACACAGTGAGTTACGCTATCAGTCGTGATACCCAGCTCGCTTGCTAGTTCTGGAGACACACAAGCTGAACAGTCTTCTCTGGCAGTGGTAGAAAGACTGCTCAGTGGTTTGTGAACGATAAGTGTCGGTTCAGTAGAGCCTTCTACTCTATTGCTCCACTGTCCACTTTCACAACCAGACTCAATCTGCTCCACTACATTTCCGTTCCCGCGCTGACAGTTGAAGTGATCAGTGCAATTGATACTCAGCACCACGACTGACACTCCATGAAGGAGGCCTTGCTGTTCTTGTTCAGAAAATGTGAGACAGACAATTCCAACACACGAGACACATCTATGTAGGTCGTGCAGACGCGCTTGATTGGATGAGTAGAGAATCACATTCTGCTCTCGGTTTCCGCAGGCTCCAGGCTTCTTCGTGAGGCAATTGTACAGACTGACTGTAGCGTGACACGCTAACGACTACAGCTCAGCAGCAGCGCTCACTAGATTCCGTTCCCGTGCCGTTCACTGATGCTTGCTATTGCAAAACAAAACGCCATCGGACGCGCGGATCCTGGCCGTTCTTCGTCTAATTGGCGAGCGGAGCTCAGTGGTCTATATATATATACGATCGACCACGCGTGGACGTGTTGTGTAAGTAAGTTGCGCATAGCGCGGCTATCGTTACGCGCGTCACATGTGCTATCTATGCGCATAAAGCGCCTAAGAGATACCGCGCGCTGCTGGTGATGACTACGTAGAGCTCTCTAGCTCCATCGCCTACTAGTATACGGCGCTATGCGCACAATATGCACACACATAGTCGAGCGCGCTCGCGGACCAGCCCTCCCCTCTCATTCGTCAGGCCTGCGCTCTTGCATACTACTGCCACTGCTGGATCCCCTGAATACTCAACTAAGTGAAGGCACACAAAACACTACATAAAACCAAAATCAGTCTATCTCTTCATGTTCTGTCATTGACGCTCTATTGCTCCGACATCTCTTCCCGATGCTGTTTTGGCCTTTGTCGCGCGCGTCCCGCTTTGCGAAGGGTGATCTGGATGATCGCTGGCTAAGTCGGTTCTAGTGGGATAAGTACAGTCCAGCTGGCCCCGCGCGAGACAAGCTACTAGAAGTAGAACGGCAAAGTTCAGGACAGAACTCATGTCAGTGTGGGGGGACTGCAGACACAGTATTATATCCGCGGTCTTACTCCCAGACTGAGCATAAGCGTCAGAAGCAAGCCAGCGCGAGCCGCGTAGACTCCCTACATAGCTCGTCAACACTAATTGAAAAAACACACAACAACAAAAAACAGGGAGGATTATACAGTAGGCGAGGAAATGAAACATATACAGCATAGTCTAGTTTCCTGCATTCACACACAACACCAGCAGTAATGTTTGTGGACTCCATGGGCTAGCCTAGTCGTAGTTTTCCTGGCATTCACACTAAAAAAAGGAAGGCAATAGTGTTCGTTGAGGTTACGTTTGTCAGTTGACTTCAGCATATATTCTGTTGACGGCTTCAGTTGAAGTCGCATAGGCACAGTTTTCATCCATTTCAATCTTGTCATTCTTGCTTGCATGTGATGACCCTTGAGTATACAAGTCAATGATGAGATTTTCGTTACTTGAGTTCTTCTTTGACAGCTTCAGCCCGAGAACCACCACTGTCACTGCTAGAGCTATGATCAAAGCACCAAAGACCACAGTCACAGCTAACAAGACCTTCTCCCGTAGTGTGAGACCTATTCAATAGAAGTGCAATCCAGGTTATTCGTGTTTTCTACTTGTGTGCACAATATATAATTCATAGCTAATACCTATAGACAAACTGAGCAGGAAGGTGTGGTGGCTTGTAGGTTTATGGAGAAAGTGTATTATCCATTATAATTTCTTACCATTTTGCACTCCAATCTCAGATCTGTCTGCTGCTTCTAAAAGACAGAAAGCGAGCAAAATTATTATCATGGTGAGCGATATTAGTGACACCTATTAATTACAGTCTGATGAAAAATACACTTCCTTGTCAGATCAGCTCATGACAAGCTACCTAGTCTGGCCTCATTCCCTCTATAATTATAGATAGTTTAATTATGTATGCCATGTAGCTGTATAGGTCAATTGTCTATAAGATCACCTGCCTTATCTGAGAATTTGTATATAGGAGTAGCTAATGGAGCATAATTCCCATGTATATATGTATATACGTACTCTACAAGTAAGCTCATGGTACTCACTCCATTTTCCTCACAGATGATTCGAACCAGGGAGAAACGTGCTTGGTTCCACGGTGTAGCTGGTCTCATTATCACAAAAGGCGTTCGGTGTCCCCTCACAGATGATTTCGAGGTTTATTAACCCAATTCTCCACCATATCAAAGATATCAGGGCAGGTAACTGAAGAATATACACAGCAGATATTTTGCCTGAAAAGACACATGCAACAACGTTAACAAATCTGGGACTGACATTAATGTGATTTTATACCTTTGATGAGCATTCAAGATCTTCGTTTGACCAGGTCTTATCATTTTGGCAAGAGTCTAGTGTTCCTTTCGTCTTGAATCTGTAGTCAGTGTCACACTCATATGTGGCTACTGCTCCAACCTCCGTGGTGGCTAGTTACGCTTGAAAACTTTTCCCGTTCACTAAAGTTGGGACTTCACCACACTCAATCACTGTGCATCAGACGAAAAAGAATGTCTTATAGTGACTGAGTGTAAGTGAAACAGCTCTTACCGGTGCAGTTGGTAGGGTGGAGTTCCATGTGCCAGCGTTGCTGCAGATAGCGCCATACCCATCTGTCTCATACCTATCATTGCATGCAACGGTAGCTGTAGTTCCTTGCGAGAAGCCTTCTCCTGTAGCAACCCGAGAATACTCCACTCTTCCATTCTCAACTGTGCCAAGGCTATCAGGACAGTCTCTCACTGTTAGGCAAATGGAAGAGAAAAGAAGTATATAAACTGACAGAGAACAAAAAGACGCAACTTACAGCAGTTAAAGTCATCGCTGATGGAATAAACACCGTCTTTCGGACAGGCCTCGCCACATGTGCCATTAGATAGATAAACCTGACAGCAGGTGTCAGAACCATGGCCAAAGCATCTTCTAGCTCCAGCTTCTTCACCACTGCATAGAGCGTTACATTCTGCAAATAGCCATGTGATAAACCACACATATTTCAGAAACCATCAAAGTCAGTCCTCACCAATGCAATGCGACCCGTCGCTGGCCGGATCAGGAGCGCCTTCGTCTCTAGCGGCTTGTTGAGACGTACAGAAAGAACAGTCTTCTCTGAGACCAGTTGAGAAATCACCAGTGGCAGGAGATGTCCGAGGAGTTCCCGTGACACCAAGAACTTGAGTGCCCCAAGTATTTACGGCACACTCGCCTTCAAACTGCTCTACTACCATACCCTCGGGACATCCCGCATTTACCTCACAAGTGTACTCAACGATAACAGAGAAAGCTCTATAGCGATCTCTTTGCTGACTGTGGGCCAGGCACACAATACGGTGTATGTTCAAGTCGATGTTAGGGGTGACGAGATTCTCTCCAGTCACAAAAACTTGAGATATCACATCTCTAATAATGTTTTCAGTAGGATAGTCACAGTCCACCACACACGACCCACTCCCGAGGAGACAAGTAACCAGAAGTACGATAAGACGCATGATGTTCATCACGGCCAGCTCAAGGTCGGTCGTCCGCTGCAGGTCAGAATAACGCATGCGCGCACAAGACAGTCGCGAGCGCGTTGAGAGTGCAGTCTACGAATGCGCATGCGCTTGGGGTGCCGAAGAGGAGTGCTTGGCTCCGATAGTATTTCCTGATACAGAGCTCAAAAAGGATGGACCTTGTATAGTGGGGAGGCGATAGTGTCTGTTGAAATGTTTTATCTCCCATCTTTTGTCAGAATAGCTGAATTGTACACTTCTACAGTTCGGAGCATTACTGCATCATTGATGTATGCTAACAGTATAAATCTCTGAACACTCAACTACAGACGGCACATAAAACACAAAAATTCAGTTATCCGTATAAACTGTTCTTTTCGAAGCTTATTTATCCCGAAGCTCCGATGCTTTGGCCTTTGTCTCTTTCTTGTCCTCCTTCTCGGCAGCCTGAGCACTGGAGGCTGGTTTCAAATCTTTGGAGAGTGCCACATAAGATGTTTCAGACTGAGCTGTCTTCAATTCTTTCTTGGCCTTTGAAGCTGCTGCTGAAGCTAGTGCAAACGCAGTTGATCTTGGATCTTTCTTCACCTTCGAAACCGTAGCATATTTTTTTGGCTGAGTCAATCTCAGATCTTTCTTGGACTCTGAAACTGTTTCGGAAAAGGAAGAAGACTCGGTCGATTTCCAATCTTTTAAAATGACTCCAAAAGGGGTAGCTGCTTCTGTCGTGTCGTCATTGTTGGTGTCACCCTTACTTACTACAACGACTGGAGTGTACACCACTCTTCCCATCGGAGGCTTGACACTGCCACCCTTCACTATTGGATTCTCAGCTTCAGTAGCTTTCTTGTCAGTTTTGTCTTTTTTGCCTGGTTCAGATGTCCCTCCTTTTTCTTTCACTGGCTCGGATTTCTCTCCCTCTTCTTTCCCTGCTCTGATATTTCTTTCCCTGGCGCGGATTTCTCGCCTTTTTCTTTGCCTGCTCAGATTTCTTTCCTTTTCCTTTTTTCCCTGGCTTAGCGTCTGACTTAAAGTTGTGAAACCGGAGGTCAGTGTAGGAGTATTCATTATCTTCAGTATCTCCGGCATCACTGTTTGGGAGGAGAAAAGCTGTGCTGAGGCGCTGGTCTTCGGTACCAGCTGACTCCCCAACACTATAGCCAAGGGGAGCATAGCCTGTCTTCGTCTTTCTTTGCTGCATTCTGGAGTTGAGCTTCAGTCCCTGCGGCCTCCACCACAGTGTAGCGTGGTTGGAATAGGTGTCATTGTCTGTTTTTGTCACTTTCTGGTGTTGATCTTCAGTTCCTGCAGCTTCCACCAGACTGTAGCCTTTGTTGGAATAGGTATCTTCATCATTTCCTAAAGAGAATATAGGTACATGCTTGTTTATTTAGTATCAAAATTCCATAGTGGTCTACAGGCACATGGTGAAAATAATTAGCATTCTCTCGCCAATCAACATTCTACCCCAATTAGTTTCCATTCACTTGAGACTTACCATTGAAAACTCCATATGCCTCGTTGATGTTTGTGCTGGGCTGGTTGATGTTAGGTCCTAAGTATTTCACCCAGCCGTATTTCTTCCTGAACATGATGACTCCGTATAGTACCACAATGAATATGAGGACTATCAGCAAGAGAGCGTTGATCGCTGTTATGGCCATTAGATACCTCAGGGTGTTGTTATCCGTGTTCGTATTGCATGTATCTATGATAGAAAAGCAGTAATTTCAGTTGTAGCTAGCTAATCAACCAACACTTGTCAATGTTAGCTACTGATTTTTCCCCGACGTTGTCTAGTTGGTATGCGGGAATATCTACTCCGCATTTGACTACATGTTTTGTAGCTCACCAGAAGGTAGGCTAGTGTTGATGTTGGAATCCACTCCAACGACGCACTTGCAGTCGCAGTCGCTGGAACCAGTGTAAACGGGAGAAACGGTCAGGCCAAGTGCAGAGACGTTGGTGGCCGTATAACTCTCCGGGCAGCTCGACAGCACTGGCACCACAGAAATATGGATGACGAGAAAGGAACCGAGAAAAAAGGTGGTCGCGAACATTGCGCGTTCTTGCAAGTCCGCTGACGAGCGATGGCCTCTCAACTCCGTGAGAAGAAGACCGACCAATCAGGATTCAGTATTTGTACGCATGCGTATATGTATCTACGGACGAGTCTTATGCGCATGCCCAGAGCGAACGGGGAGCACGTGCTTGTCGGTTTCTATTTGAAGCGCTCTCTCTCTCTGTGACTGTGAAGTTCGTCGTCTTGTTGGTGTGGTGAAAGTGTTAGTTCAAGTCGATTCTTGCTAAGGCCTCGAGTACAGGCGACCTACACTTCCCACCCACCCGATTCCACAACACACTTGACGTTTTTCTCAACACGGTATATACACAACCTCAACAATGTCTGACTCTGAGCTGGCGTGTGTATACAGTGCCCTCATCCTCCACGATGCCGGAGTCCCCATCTCCGTGAGTCTAGTTTACGGACCTAGTTTACTAGCCACGAGGTCTCCAATATGACGTCTGTTTCCACATCATGCATTCTGCCCTGTAAAAGAACTTAAGTATTATACATCTCTAGTTGTTTGGTCACGTGATTGTTCCCTAGGCGGACAAGATCAAGACTCTGGTGAAGGCAGCTGGCATTGACGTGGAGCCGATCTGGCCCAGCCTGTTCGCCAAGGCCCTCGAAGGTCAGAGTCTGCATATGAATGTTTTTGAGCATGTATATACCAAGGCCCTAGAAGGTCAGAGTCTGCATATGAATGTTTTTGAGCATGTATATACCAAGGCCCTAGACGGTCAGAGTCTGCATATGAATGTTTTTGAGCATGTATATACCAAGGCCCTAGAAGGTCAGAGTCTGCATATGAATGTTTTTGAGCATGTATATACCAAGGCCCTAGAAGGTCAGAGTCTGCATATGAATGTTTTTGAGCATGTATATATATACCAAGGCCCTAGAAGGTCAGAGTCTGCATATGAATGTTTTTGAACATGTATATACCTTACCTGTCTTGCTCTGTATTTACTCATGATGTATAATTATATAAATACCCAGTTTGTTTCTCCCGTTTTCTCTGTCTCCCTTGCCAACACACTCTTATGATTTGTCATTTCTGTGGGCCCAAACGCTCGCCTCCACCTTTTCTTTTCACTAACACAACCTTTTATTTTTCTCCCACCTCAAATATATACTTTGTTCACTAACAATACACATCTTACCCTCATCTCCCCCCAATTTTCTCTTCTTATATTATCGGCAGGCGACGTCGTTCCAATGCAGGAATTTTCTATATACATGTATGTTTTATATCGGTTGGACGCTGTGCATACCGCAATGTTCTACGTGATTCTAAATACGTGCAAAACACGCACGAAATGTCCAACTTTTCGCGCTCGCTCTCTCTCTGGCACTTGTTCCGTCTCTTCCCTCTTCCTCTCCCCAGGGAAGGACATAGGCTCCCTGATCTGCAATGTTGGCAGTGGAGCTGCGGCGGCTGCTGCGGCACCAGCAGCAGGTGGTGGCGGTGGAGGGGGAGGGGGAGAGACTGCGACCAACGAGGAGAAGAAAGAGGAGAAGAAGGAGGAAGAGGAGGAAGAGTCCGATGACGACATGGGATTCGGTGAGTCGTGCTGGGTTGGTGGTCACATGATCTGTGGGCTGAATCACATGATCTGTGTGGTATATCATATGATCTGTGGGATTTTTGAACATAATTATCACTTTTCTGCAGGTCTTTTTGACTGAACACCCTGCAAGATCTAGGCTGTCATGGACTTATACCCATCTCATAATGTTCTGTGTACATATTTGACATCTTGAAAAATTTTAAAGTAAAAACTTCGAAGAACATTGAAGGTTGCATTTGCTCTCTAGAAGAACAAAATAATAATAGACAAAAGAAGCAGATCAATTCAGACTTCTTCTTTCTATATACGATCTTTTCTATGATCCTTTCAGCTTCCTTTCTATCTGCTAATCATCTCCAACAACTTCCTGCCCGTAGTAATTAATAATCTTTAGCCAGGGTCTTCCCCTCTTCAGCTGGAGGAGTTTGGCGTCGTCGACCAGGTCAGTCTGGGACAGATCGAGACTAACCAGTTTAACCAACGGAGCCCCAAACAGGGGTTCGCAGTGGGCGTACTTTAACCCTATTAGTTTCAGAGACGACAGATGTTGGCATCTCTTTGTCAGGGAGTCCAGTCCGGTGTCGGTGATCTTGTAACACCACGCAATCCCCAGTCGCCTAAGGTTTGGCAGTTTCCCGGCAATGAGTTCGACATTTGAGTCGGAAAGCTCATCACACTCGCTCAAGTCGAGCGTGTGTAGAAAGTAGTTCTTATCACCTATCACTTCAGTGGTAGAGGTGCAGCCATTCTCACGGCCGCTATTGCAATATTCGTGAGTTTTTCCACTTTGTCTGTGCGTTATTTTGCTCATTTCGTAGATTCTGTCGGATGAGTTTGCGTGCGATGACGACGTGTGATGGGGCCTTGCGAAAAGTTGCTCGAGACCGCGACTTGTGAAACTAGTCCCTTTTGTGAGACGAAGTGACGAGAGGCGATGTAGCGCCGAAAATGCCTGGAGAGCAGAGTCTGTGAGATTACTGCAGAATGATATTCCGAGGTGTTTTAGCTGGGTCAGTGTTTGTCCGATGAAGACGGCAGTTTTGTCAGTGAGCATTTCCCCGTCAAGGTCGAGTGATCTTAGGAGGGGGCAGGTCTCTAGGATGGCGAGCGTACCGATATCAGTCAGGGAATTTAGACCATCCAGGTTTAGGGTCTGGGTGTAGGTGTGTGTGTGTGTGCGTGTTGGAAGAGGGGGTGAGGGGGAGAAGGAGAAGAGGTAGGGGGTGAGTGTGAATTGAAAGAGAGGGGGAGAGAAGAGTTGAACAGTAGAAAGAGAGAGAGAACGAAAGATTCAGAGAAAAACTTTTAAACAATCACGAGGAGAATGAAAAGAGAAAGAGGGAGGGATAATGCCATTCAGACATGGGCCTATTGATCAAAAGTGTGTACACATCTCCTCACACATGTCACATACTTCCTCACACCTGAAGTGCTCTGAGACGAGTTGACACGTTGAAGGCCTGAAAGGCGAAATAGACGGTCGCATCATCGATCCTGTCGCAGTGTGCTAGACTCAGCTCCGAGTAGGAGTGCTCTGGCGTCATGAGCCCCATGAAATGTTCGCTGGTGAAAGACGGTGAACACTCGCAGCGGACACACTTTAGCTGCGGGCAGCAGGTCACGATACTCGGGAGGGAGTCCAGAACGACCGACGGACAAGACACGAACGTGATGCTCTCGATGTTGCGCAGCTTGAGCCACGAGTCTCCGAGGTTTTCCCAGCCGGACACCTTGTCGGTGGCGTCGCTGAGGAACATGAGGGAGCGAAGACGAGGTCGTGCAGTGACCAGCTTGTCGAGGAAGACACTGTTGACAAACCTGCAGCAATAAAAACCACAGTACAATTTGGGGACGGATAGCAAAAGTGTTGACTTAGTCGAAAGGGACCAGTTACATATTGGCTACGCAAGCTATATACAAGGAGGGCAATGGATGGAATATGGCTGACTAAGCATGCTTCATGGGCCATGCCAAGAGATCCGCAGCGCTCAAAGAACCACATATATACTCCGTACGCCGCAGATTAGGTGCACATAGCTATCTACAGACCTGCAGGAGATCTCGACCTGTGTCCAGAGAGAGGCGTCGTTGCAGAGCGCGTGCCAGCGACGGCAAACTCGCATGCCCTTGACCACGTCGCTGGCCGGCAAACAGTGCAGAATACGGAGACACAGCTCGTCCGGCAGCACCGAAAAACGGCCGTTGTTGACTCTATCACTCATTCTAAGAAGCCCCAGCTTCTCTATTTTTGACCTTTGAACCTGGACACGTGAGCAGTTTTAACCGGTTTATCACTGAATTTTGAACCTTTCGTCTTCTCTCTTACTCCCTCAACAACTGCGGAAGAGATGTCGCTAGGCGTGTTGACGGGAGCCGTGACGCTCCAGGGACCACGGAATCCTAGCCAGCTAATGTCCTTCGATGGCAGCACCAGAAGCCAGCAGATCGCACAGGCGGTAAGCCCGGACCTGGGGGGCGTTAATTAGAATCGAGGGTGTCATTCGGTTATTCTTCCTGTTGCAGGGACCTCCAAGAACTTCGTCCCTCCAGGCTCCTATAATGCAACTAGTTGGACACGACGTAAGGATTTATACCCCTGCAACCCCTCCACTTCTGAAATGAGGACGCCTTTTCTTTACAATTTAACCCCTGAAGTAAAGACGTCTCACTAACTTCCTTCTGTCCCATTGCTGTCCGGATTAGCCTATGTTGCTCATCCCTCTCTGCCTTTACTCCTTCCCCCTCCTCCTTTCCTCTCTATGTACCCCCTCAATGCAGGGAGAGATCAATTCCGCAAAGTTTAGTCCAAATGGAACAATCCTAGCTTCTGCCTCATTCGACCGTCAAATAAGTGAGTCCTGCAGCAGAACTTCGTTTAGTAAACCCTGATGTATATATACGAAGAAAGAAATATCATGGACACACCTGTCTTGATTGCGTTCCTGGTCTCTGTTCTGCTTCCACTGTGTGTGTATATACTCATGATAATTGCATTACTGGTCACTGTTCCGTTCCACAGTGTTATGGAATGTTTACTAATGATGATTGCATTCCCGGTCTCTGTTCCATTCCACAGTGTTATGGAACGTGTACGGGGACTGTGACAATTTCGGTGTCATGATGGGGCACACTGGAGCCATTCTGGAGCTCCATTTCTCCCGCGATGGAAGGTACGTTTAACCCTTTAGCAGACACCATTGATGCTGTAGTACAAGACAATTTGGCGAGTCGAATCTTAGTCGTCTGAAAGGCCGGCCACTGCACATACCGTAATGTTGTACGTGATTATAAATACGCAAAACATGAACTACAGCTGCACGCCAAAAATGCATTGCTAGTATGATATTCGACTAGGCAGGCTACTTTGCTCACTATTTAGCAGAATGTCTTCTTTCCTCTCCTCCCTCCCCTCCCCTCCCCCTCTCCTTCCCAGTTACAGCATGGTGTTCACTGCATCCACTGACAAGACGGGCGCGGTGTGGGACTGTGCTGTTGCGAAGAGGATCAAGAAACTGAAGGGACACACTTCGTTTGTCAACTCGTGCGCGGCGTCGCGTCGCGGGATACAGCTGGTGGCAACTGGCTCAGACGATGGAACGATGAAGGTTCGTGTATAATAATAAATTTCTTTGGAGATTTCTCTCAAACTGAAAGACGAAAACTCCTGCCACGTCACAAATTGGCAGAAATTGTGTAAACAGACTGTTGAAAAGAGACCAATATTTCATGGTTAATGGTACATTGCCTAGCCTTGTTCTTTTACATAAGCATGCTTGCATCAGGCTTTGTATATGAAATATTTCCGTT